TTACATTTGGCTGCTCCGAAGCATTATTTACGGGCTACCGGTATAGGCCTGGGGTGGGAGTTTTTTTGGGGCGCGAGCTTGGGTCGAATAAGGCTCCAGATGAATGCTGTGCAGCATGACAAAGACGATTGATCGGCTGCTCGGCTTATCTTAAGATATTGGGCCTTGCTATCCGGCTGGCAGCCAAGGATCGCGATCCGGATGCCAGCTAGCAGCATGCAGTGCAGCACAGTTCGCCGCCGGCGAGCGAAAAGATGGCTAGCTATCTGCTAGTTCTGTACCTGCCCTGGGACCTCCGGTTTAGGGGTTTAGGGACCGGGTTTAGGGGGTTAGGGTTTTATATTATAATCAACATCTGGAGAGCTATTCGGCTACATAGTCGCCTACGCGACATTGCAATATTAAACCCTACACCCTAAACCCTAAACCCTAGCCTCAACTCGGCATAGCCGCCTACGCGACATAGGCCTAAACCCTAATATAGTCGTGTAGGATCCTACGATTCATACCGCTTGATCCGCATAGGTTCAACGTAAATCCAACAATCCGGGCTTCCTGGCCTGACCTGAACGGTCATATAATCGAAGCCATGAACCTCATATAACCCCGAAAGCCCTGCAGGTACCGCTATTGGGGTTTTAACATGTACAGGAACATTGGGTTACGTCAACGATCGGCAGGTGCACCATGCCATGCATGTGCCACTTCAGATACCGCACGTACACACACACACACATATATAATAAGTGCACGTACGAATATGAGCTCGATTCGATATACATCTATATATATATATATATATATTATATATGCAGATCGTGCATTCCAATCGGATGTTCGGCCCGATGGCCCTGTTTTTCTTGTTTCGCGAAGTTTTTGATCCTTTGTTCTGGGTGGCATGAGCATGTTTTTTTCAACGTTTAGTTTGCGAACTCGTTGGCTCTCGGTCAGGTTTTTTAGCTTGTTCATTTTTCCGTGGTCCGGTTTATGGTAGTTTTGGCAGAGATGCTACGTTCATCAGAAATAGCACTTTTGTCAGAGAGGTATGTTGTCATGCTGGTTCCGGCCAAAACTATGCTTCTCTGGAATGTTTCGACTATGTCGGTACGCCAGACCCTTTGGGGTTCCTTTTTTTGGTTTAACCAAGTATATAGTAAGGATTTTACAAGGTATCCCCCAAAAAAGAACTACAATGGAGACTATAGGTAGACCCTAGAGCTGGCCTGAAACCCCAAAACCCCCAAGGCCCTGTAAACCCTAAAGCTGTAGCCCAAAGGGTCCAAGTTGTACTATAGTATATACTTCTGGGGCCCAAATACTACAAAGTAGCTACCATATTAATACTTGGACCTTTTGGGTAGCCGCGAACTACGGACGATATTGGCTTGAGAAAAGGAGCGAAAGGGGATTCCCACGGATAGACCAGCCAGTTCGGTGCGCCAGGAAAGGCATCCAAGCCTCGTTCCTCCTTTCAGGGTTACCCTGAGGGTCCAAGTACCAATATAGTAGGTACTTAGTAGATATTTGAACCTTACTTAGAAGTATATATTATACTCTTACTCGGACCCTTTGGGTTATAGGGTTTAGGGTGTTGCGCCGCAACAGTAGCAATACTTTCTGTGAAAGGGATGTGGCCCCAGCACAATCAGGGTTGGGTGCTGGTGGCGCATCCACGTTTAGGATGCTAAGTTTTCAGTTCACCGCAAATAGCTGTGAATTGTCTGTTTATGTATGTAAATGAACTTCGTTCGAAATTTCTCAAGAAGCCGAGGGAACAGACACTCACCGATCGACCGCTTGAATGCGAATAAGTGCCGTCTGAGTCTAAGGGTGGTCAATGCTCTTTTCGAAATTTGCTTGTGCAGTTTCTGAGCCGTGAAACCGATGCATCACCCGAACCACACAGCCTGCTCGAGCTCGAGGTTTGAAAGAGAAAGTTTCCACACTCTTGTGTGCATGGACCCCAAACCCTGAATGGTCAACCACAAGTTCCCTAAACCCCAAACCCCAAACCCCTAAAAACTAAACCCTAAACCCCTAAAGCCTAAAGCCTAAACCCTAAAACTCAAATCGAACATCGTCAAAAAGGGGAAGTATCGGTCCTGCACATCCTGCACAGCGAGAGGCTGGGTCCGGGGCTGCAGCTGGGCCAGCAAGGCACCTGTGCCAAACATCCCGACAGTCTTTGCCCTCACCCCCCAGGTACCTACTATATGGGGCCCTAGGGGCTCTAGTACCCTCTATAGTAGGTACCTGTGGGGCTTTCGGTTTTAGGTCGGGTTTTTGGGTTCAGGGTTTGTTGAGCTTAGGGATGTAAAATCTAGGGCTTACATGTCCTGAACCCTAAACCCTAAAAACTAAACCCTAAACCCTAAACCCTAAAAGATGTAGGTGCACTCACCGCAGAACGCACGGCAAGGGACTCGACTCGGCCTCTCCTTCGCTCCATTGGAGTTGACCCCTATAAAGCGTGTAAACCCGGATCACTGAGGCCTTGATAACCTGCTAGCCCCACAGCTACAATATCGTATACTTTCGGAGATTATCGTATCTTATAGTATATTATTTATGGCATTATTTTCTAGTACATTATGGCATTATTAGAATATATTCTGGCATGATTATGGGGCTTCAAGCATGCTTTACTGGGGGCTGCGCAGATGCCAAGAAGAAGAGGCAGGTCCCTCGCGTACTTCTTCATCCCGTGCCCTCGGGCAGCAAAGGCTTCCCGCAGCATTTCGACGCGGAGCAGGGAGATGCAGTTGTGCAAAACCCCCCAAAAACAGCACAGATCGGTCCAAAGGAGACCCTAAACCCTAAACCCTAAATCCTCCTACAAGTAGGTGAGCTACAGTCCTAAGTGTAAGGGACCTTGCAACTGGTTGAGAGGCTCCTCCTCGTGGCTTGGGCCAGATCAAAGGTGGCTGCCCGGGCATCGTGCCGTCCCCTCCCATGGAGTCGTATATGCATAAAACGGTATCTAACCGCTAAATGCTAAACCCGTGCTGAGTGCTGACACGTAGCAAAACTGACGAGAAGACTGCGACTTGTGGTCAAAGAGCCCTAGACATGAATAGTAGCGGCCATACAAATCACGACAGTGATAAGTCTAGGAACAAGAACAATCACAAAGGCTTATACTGCAAAATGATCTGAATGATTACCTGCTTTTCTGTAAGCCTTCACTAGCATGCGGTAGGGCTGTTGCCCCAGTCGGAGAAGAAATAATCGACGGGGCTTCTCAAGCCCTTCCAACTTCAGCAGGGATTGTTCCGAATCCTGAAACCTCTAATGTTACGTGGTTCAAACAGGACAGGAGTCTACCACAAGTAAGGGCCCTACATCAGTCAGTATAGAACAATCCCCTGGACGCTTGCAACTAAGGCTCTGAACGGCCTGCGCTGACATGATTCCAGCAATATATCCATGAAAACCCGTGAATCCAACAGGCATGATGTGCGCCGTGGCAGTTTGTGAATCGGACACAGTGTTGGGTGTGGTCATGATTTCGGGGCAAACGTCTTCTCTCTTCGGTAGCCTGCGGGATGCAAGTGGGCCAAGAACTGCTGGTGAAGCGAAGCTCCCTTCGATCGTGCATCGATACGGGAGGGTTCGAGAGCACATGGAAGTTTCTCAACCTGAAGATGTCTCCCCTTAGATGTTCTCGTGCTTGATTCACTAACCACTACTTCTCGAAAATACCGACGAAGCCAACTGTATGAACAAAGTGTGTAGATGCAAAGTCAAGGTGCAATTATGTATATGTAGCATTAAATATAGCTACATACATGCATATACAAATACATGCAACATATGCACAGGTATATAGTCACTATACTTTTTCGCCCATGTCCTGAACCCACAAAATGATCCCGAGTTCCATGCGCTGCCGCCCTGTTGTTGGCAGCCATCGACGGTTCCTACGAGCAAGCCTGAATTCTATATTTTGGTGCAGCAAGCGCTTCTGGAAGCCGGCACAGGGTCAAAGGCACGTCGTCCGAGGGAGTGTAGGGGCCTTGGTAATTAGAACAGGGTTCTGGGCTCCTTTATAGTCTAATTTATTGCTTCGATGATATTCCCAAAGGGTCGATGTGATAGTGTATTATATACTTTTGGGGCCCAAACATCTAATAAGTACCTACTATACTTGTACTTGGACCCATTGGGATTCACAGGATATGACGTGCTTCGAGCCCATGTACATAGTCGGCCATCATCTGCAAGCTGTGGGCTCCACCTAGATGTTGCCCAGCATGCTGGAAAAGCACCAAAAACAACTACAGCAAAATGAGAGGCAAATCTTGTCGGCACAAGCTTGGTCGACTGTTCGCGCAGAGTTCGAATACTGTGCCGTGTAAACCTAACCCCTCAGGTACCGACTATATGGGGCCCTAGGGGCTCTAGTACCCTATATAGTAGGTACCTGGGGGGTAAGGGATATCTGTATGTTCCCCGAATCGACCTGGTACCACGTCTTGCAGCCTGTACATAAAGCCCGAAGCCGGAATGCAACGTGGCTCCAGCGAGCCCTGGGTGCGTGTGTGAGTTATCGTGTACTGCATCTTAAGCTTGAGATTGCCCGGAAGAAGCATTGCGACTGATCCTCGCCGGCACTATCACGTCATCTCGGCTAGCTGCTAGCACAGGCCGACAGCTGTCGTCGTGCAGCGCAGGAAAAGTGAAACCACGAATTCTCTGCACACCAACCGCCCGTGCGGTTTCCGATGCAATCTTGTAGTCGCAGGCCTGCCAATATATAGGGAAACAGCGCGAACGTCGAGACATTCAAGTCTGATTGCTGCGAGTTTTAGTCCCTACCCTTGCCCCTATTATACCCCTACCCCCACCGCTACGGCGCTGACAGGAAGCAAAAGCAGCAAGGCTCGCAAAACGTGACTGGCAGCACGAGGAATAGCAGCAGAAAAAGAAGAAACCCTAAACCCTAAACACAGGGAGCACATGAAAAAAGCCCTGGAGGCGCCTCTGCTGCCGTTGCTCTTTTAGCGCTTCATAGATGCCACCGAAGACATGAATGATGACCTCAGTCGACCATGGCGAAGTTCCATGGGATCTCATAGACGCACCGATTCCAAACTCCTAGGGCTCCTGCTGCTGCTAAATACAGGACAACTTACTTAAAGGATCATGGGACTTAGTAAGTAGGGTTATAATCATGGGGTAACTATACTTATAACCCCAATTAGGGGGCTTATAACCTTACTAACTAAGTCCCATGATCCTCCAGGTACACAGTTCATAACACATACCGGCCGCAGCCGTAGGAATGCTCTGTAGAATCGATCACAAGGATAGACTAAAGTAGCACGACCCCTAAACCGTAAACCCTATACCAAAACCTTAAACCCTAAACCCTAAACCAAAACCCTAAACCCTCATAACATCTTGGATGCCTAGGCTCCCCTTTGAGCCAAGCCTGCCCTGGCGGCAGAGCAACAGGCGCTTGAGACCGCGGTCGAATTGCCGCTCTACCTCTGCGTGGGGCATCTGGATCTTCAGAACCCCAAAGGATCCAAGTATTAATATGGTAGCTACTTTGTAGGTATCTGGGCCCCAAAAGTATAGACTATAGTATAACTTGGACCCTTTGGGAACCAACAGTTGCGTTGAAAGCATACCTGTACAGGTGTCTATCCCTATTGACATTTTAGAGTTTAGTCCTCAGGATATGACATGCTATGCGGTATATAGCATGTGACACTATGTGCTGTCTCCACTTGCTCGCATGGGGAGGGTCCTCATGTTGAAGCGTGACGGACGTACTCTTTGGGGATGATACCATAAAGAAAACCTCCCGCGTTGGGCATCCACGCATATATGCGAGGGGAAAAGGATTACATTCTTATTATTACTATTCTTACTTTTATTTTTATTCTTATAACTATTCTTATTATATAGTACGCTTCTCTGAACACCTCCAGAGTAACGTCCTGGCCCTTGCTCGCGAGTTTTGTCTGCTGACATCATCCATTGCTTTGATGCATTTCGGTTGAGGCTCCAAAACCAAGAAGTCGGCGAATTTGCCGCTCCCTTTTGCAGTATAGAGCTGAACCCGTTCTTGCTCAGGCTTCATGTGATCAATTGCGCTACCCCTAAACTCCCGGGTACCTACTGTATAGGGTACTAGAGCCCCTAGGGCCCCATATAGTAGGTTCCTGGGGGGTTATGGTACAATAGCTCTGACGTCGGACTTGTCTCGGCTGTCATGGAGGTGGAACTTGCAATCTTCAAGTCTGAACACGAAATTCACCCACAACATATTCCGTCACAACTGCGACTATCCTACAGCGGAAAACAAGAACTGAGCCGACGCCACAAAACTCAAGCCTGCAGCGATGTAACAGCCCCTTACAACCTTGGTCGCCAAATCCAACAAGTGCCCTAGACACGGCCTTACTGACTCTGCCGGATGGGCCTCATCAGATCGATATCTCTCACCCTGCCATTGTGACAAGAAGTCCAGCTCGTCAACCTGACAGGGTTTCAGGTGTAGGGTCCTTGCATTTTGGTGCCTAGCCGTGGCCAACAGAAAGGCTGGAGGACCGCCTGGTGATGACCATGATGTAGCCGATGACGGTATTTCTGATGCTAGTGATGATGAGACTGAGGCTGATGATGCGATGATAGAAGCGATGGTTGACTACAATAGGCTGTCCCGGTACCATCAAGTTCAAACTGTAACATGTCAAACATGTAATCTAAATGAGTGCATGCAGGTCAGAAGTGATGCCAAGATCGAGGTGTCACCAAAGTACGCAGAGGCGATGACGAGCGCAAAGATACCACCGTAACAACCATACTTATGATGATGACACAATCCTAAACCCTATTTCGTAAGCAACAACTCAACAGAACTGGTAACAACACAACAGCCCTAATTCGAATAGTCCTGGCTGCTTGCGGCTCAGGGCTTTGAGCTAGGGCTCAGGGTGTAGAGCTTACGGCCTCAGAACATGCAGGGGTTGCTTCTCAAATTCTATCAGCACGCCGGAACTTGTACAAAAGCCTGTAGAACCCTGGAGGTCCTCGAGGTTCTTTCTCAACAATCCCACGGAAATCATCTGGCAAGTCTGGAGACTACGAGGTTAGCAACACCCTGTAGAGGTCTCGGAACCCTAACTTCAAACATGGCGAGCCAAAGAAAACATGGTCTGTAGATTATTCTAGACCCCAAACCGGAAACCCGTATCCGCAACCGTCATACTGGCGTTTATAGTAACCTTCAATATAGTACTTCTACTAACTCGTATAGTGACCCTTGCAGCAACCTGTATAGCAAAGTGTAGAATGACTCTGAGCAGTCCTAGAAGCTATCCAGCCCCAGACAACAATTCAGCAACAAAATAGCAGATTAAACAATAAAAACAAGAATGCTCATAATTGCAAGCAAAATACATACAGTCATCATTACCAAAGAAATGTAGAAATAGCATGACAAGAAAGCAGAATCTAAGAGCTCCAAGGAACGGTCAAGTAGCCATCCTCGTTCTCGTCCAGCGCGCTCCACAGAGCGGCGCAGTCCCCGGCGAAGTCGAAGTCCTCATGAGCCCGGTCCGATGGGAGTACTTGGAGGATCATGGGACTTAGTCAGTAAGGGTTTAGGGTTTAGGGTTTAGGGTTTAGGGTTTGGAGGATCATGGGACT